TCCAGCAAATAAAATATACTTCATCTTGCCAAGGAATAACATTTGAGTTTAATCAACAAAGTCATGTTTCATCAGTTGAAGAGCTTTGGAGAATCCGGTGTAAGACTCCACAACTTGCTTTCCAAAGTTGTATGACTTATACATGTAACACAGTTTGCTTTCTCAAGTTGTGTGAGACTCCACAGCTTACTTCCCATATTTGTATACAATCTTGAAACCCCTTTTTGAGAAGCAAATATCATCAACCACTTCACCACATAACTGGTTAATGCAGATGAGGCTAGTCTTCAAACCACCTACATAACCAACGTTTTCAAGTTGAAGAAGACCAGGAAAATTGGAGACACCTTTTTTAGCTATTTGAGACTCGTCCCTACAATTAAACATAATGTCACCACCATTAAAGGAAGTAAGAGACAAGAAAGCATCATTGCCTACGTCCATATGACTAGAACACCCATTGTTAAGATGCCACATATTTAGTTTGGTTACTAAAGATGTGTTGAGAACAGCCAGACAATTGATTGAAGCATTCTGAGACCATTTCCTAAACTAGATTACTAAACAAGTAGGGGCAATTTTGCTGACTTCAATGGCTAGTCGATCAACCTGATTCTTCAAGTCATTCTTCATTTATGAGGAACGTTTTGAACACCTAGGTCAAATATGCCAAGTTCACCAACGTGATGACATATAGGAATAAGTCTTGTCTTGGAAGTATTGACCATAGGAGTCATAGGCAAAGATTCCTTCATAATTCGTGTGCTTATGCCCATGAAACATGAACCATTTTCCACAAAATCAAGATTATTCTTGGCACCATATAGGCTTCCAACACTTTGCATTTTGTCATATCATTCAGCACCAAGAATCAGACAATCCACTTTGTATATAGCTTAAATGATACATTTAAGATGACCTCATGATATATTTCATTGTTGGCCTTCAACACATGAACAAGTTGTAATAGTCTTTCTTGAGATATCATCAATTCCAGAACCTAAGCTTTAAGAGAAGCAGTAAGATCATCTCTTTCATCTTCATCATCACACAAAAATTCTTCACTTGAGCCTCAAGAGAAACAACGTTTTCACCCAGTTCCACTTTGACTAGTCAGAAAGACTCATTTCCTTCTTGCAGCAACAAACCTTCTTGGTTAACCCAATATTACCCACAACTTTTCATCAGTCAAGTCCTCAGAATTATCCAACCCAAGTTCATCATCACTAAGATACACTTTTTCAACTGAGGTAACAAAGGCAATGGCTTTCTCCTTACCATCTAATGACCTGTTAGAATAAACAGATTCTTCACTCTCGCTTTCACATCAGGTAGCCATCATTGCTTTGTCGCATTTCTTATTCAATTTTTTGTTTGCACATTCAGCAACCTGATGTCAGATACCACTACAAAAGAAACAAGGTCTATGTTCACTAGTGGAAGACATGTCCGTACAACTGATAATTCTTCATGCTTCCTATCAAAAGTGTAATTCCCTTGAGGTTGAAACATGGAATATTTTCAAACACTTTAGGCTTTTTGGCATTGCTTCATTTGTTCTTGAGAGTCATTTTGAAATGCTTAACAAATAAAGCTAGATTATCTTCAGAAGATTGATCAGACGATTCCTTAATGACCATAGTTTCTTCAACACTTTGAGAGGCAACATCATTTTTCCCTTTTTGAATCTCTTTCTTGCTTGTCACTTTCTTGAATAATTCTGAGTTTATCCCATGCATGCCTTGCCATTGTACAATATTAAATGCAGCCGAATTGAGTCGGTGAGATGACATTGACAATAACATTTCTTGCTCCTATTAGCCATGGCCGATATGACTTCATCTAGGGTCCAATCACACTTTGCTTTACCATAGATTCACCATCCATAATCCTTGAAAGAGCCCTCCATTCAATGGTAAGGTAATCAACTGCATTTGAATTTTGTGCCTTAAAAAATTTGAAACTTTTCACACTATGTAGCATAGTTCATTCTGTTAGGTTCCACCAGATACCAGTAACTCTTAGAGATCATTCTATGTATATCTAAAGCAAGGCTCTGATACCAATTGAAATTAGGTACTAGGCAAAATATCCTGAAATAAAAACTAACTTTGCACAGTAGACTAGTCAAATGAGCTAGTCAACTAGTTACAAGTTAGTCAGTGATATAAAGTGCAGTTGCAAGAACAAACCTAACTGACCAATACATTCAACTAATCAAAGTCTGCCCAGATTAGTTTCACAACAATAATTACTAAGCTTGAACACATTTACACATTAGTCCATTATGCAAACAACATTGATAAAGCAATTATAAATTAAAGTATGCTGAATTGACTAGTCAAGTTCACCAGTCAACTAAATACAGATTTGTTAGTTAATCAAATGCAAATCTATGAATCAAACTTAGTTCACTACAAGTTATCTTAGTCAACAACAATTCAGTTCATTGATCATAATATGCATTCTAAATAAGATATATGGACAAGCTTAAGAGACAAAGAACGCAAGAAGTGTTTGGTCGAAAAAAACCCACATCTAAGTTAAAAAACCGGGGACTCTCCACTGAACCCAATCCACTAGTGTAAACAAGATTCTTACAAAGACCACACAAGTTCAATTCCTAGATCCTTATTGATAGGATTTTTACCACCTGCAAAAGTAGGGATAAAAACACCTAAAATAATTGCAAGAAAAACAAAATTGTCGTAGTATAGTTGGCTCAAGTAAGGTCGTTCTCCACAGGGATTAATTTAAATAAATTAATGTAAAATCAAATCTCAACTAATTATTTAGAGTAAATTTTTGGAAAATGATGATTTAATAACGTAAATTAAGAAAAACGAATTTAATTAAAAAGGTTAAATAAAATCTGCAATTTTTAAAGAAGGAAAAAAGAAACAATTTTTAGAATTCAAAGTAAGAATGTACTAGGGTTCCGCCATCCTCTTAACAATCCTGCGTAGATTTACTAATTACTTATGAATTATCCATGTAACTTTGAAGGTCAGGTTTTCCTAATGCATATTCTACTCGTGGTATTCAAGCTAGAACGTATATCAAACATGCAATATGTCCGTGGTATTCAGATCAAATATAAACATGCATGACTCATTATGCTTTGTGAAAACCCTTTGAAAAACTATGCAACCCCTAAGACGTGATATTCATCCTATGTGAAATTACAACTATTAATCACAAGAAGCAATACTCAATTCCCCGGTGGTATTTCAACCAAATTGCATCCGATTACTTATCTAAACATCCTAATGGTCGCGAATCATTAAGACACAAAGACAGTTTATGCACAGTGATTAATAATTCAAAGTATGCATGCATAATTATCATAAGCAATTAAATAAAAACTACATATTCATACTAAGGCTCAAGGCATCACCCTAGCAAAAGAAAATTAGTTACGCATATTCATAATTAAAATCAAAAGAATTATATTAAACTAGAAAAAGAATGAAAACACCTTGTAGAATAAAGTCTGAAAATCTCTAAATTTTGTCCCAAATCTTCTATTCAAAAAATTACATGCGTTCTCTCTCCAAAATAAAACCTAGGTCTGCCAAAAGGTTTATTTATATTACTCTCCTTAAAATCCTCCTAGTAAAAGGTCTTAGAAATAGACTAGGAAACTAAATAAATTAAAATAAAATAAGAAACAGAATCCTAAAGTGACTTGGTAAATTCGCCCAAAATCTTGCACAGCCACATTTTGGACCCGTATTAGCTCCAAAACTGGCCCAAAATAGCTGGATTTAAAGCTTGAACTTTTCTAAAACTTCTCCAGAAGGTCACGAACCCATCCGAAGTCATCTTGGGCTCCAAAAACGCAGTTTAAGCCCATAAACGTCACTTTCCAACAACACGCACTGCTCTTTCATTTAATCTCTAGAAAATAATCACTTGGTAGAAATTGCTGAGATTTTGACACGAACAAGCTAAGGAACACACAAACATCCTCCAATTTGTATCACTCCAAAATTCATCTGTTTGATCACGTATTGTTTCAGAGGAAGTCGAATGTCCTATGTTGAAAATGTAAAGCAATGTATCAAAATTCTACGAAAATAATTATCAAATTATGCTTAAGAGGAAGTCGAATGTCCAATATTGACTCATCAAAATACCCCCAAACTTAGCTTTTTGCTTGTCCTCAAGCAAAACAAAACTAGAAAACAAAATTAAAAGCTAACAAACTAGAAACTTAACTAAAACTAAATGACAAAAAAATTTCACCTTCAAAGTTGTAATCCATAGAAAACGTTAAATATCAGAACATCTTTTCTAAAGATTCAGTAATCCCACCACAGAGTCTATACCATTCAGAATCAATTAGAAAATAATTCATGAACTTCCTTTGGTGTAAAGTGAACCAACATGATTAAAGAGACTCGACTAAAACCCTTACCACTCGTCCTTCTTTATATCACACATACTTAGTTCACTTTTTTTTTTCTTTCTTTTCGACTTTTTCTTTCTTTTGTTTTTTTTTTAGGTAACAGTAGTGGTCGTGCAATGCCAACTTAGGGCATTAGGTGTAGAACACCCTTAAGGACTTATTAACTCGAGTTGAAAAGGCTACGAAACCAACTAACTACCCTGCCCTATGCCAAGACTCTACTGTTTGACGCGAGAATCACTGCTGATTAGGTAGGACTGGCCCGGTTACTAGGCAAAGCCTCAGGTTGAACAATTATTACTTTATTCATAACAATAACTAACTTCGCTTTATTTAGAACAAAAATTAAAAATCAAACTTAGACAAAAAGTATGTATTCAATCTCACTCCCCACAAACTATGTTGATGTGAATGTGCAAATTGTCAAAGTATAACCCATGAATTAGTGTCTAAGCAAAGATAAATAGAAAAGACTCTACTGTGGGGTTAACCTTCACCATGTCCATTTGTTCTAACTTTTAAAATAATCTATAGATATTAACTTATAATTTGAATTTTTTTTATTGACTTAAAAATTAAAAATTAAAAATTCTAATTCCCACACCCAAACTTAAATCACACTTTGTCCTCAAGGTGTGGAAAACAAAAATGAGATCAAGGACACCAAAGAAACCTAACTAAACGTAAAAGACAGTAAGGCCAATAAAGAAACCTAACTACATGAAACCTGACTAAATGAAATAAAGAAATGAAAAAAATAAAATAAATAAATAAAGATATACAAGAAAAGAGAACACCTGGATTTAAAAATGTGGACTTGGTAGTGGGCATGGGGCCTGATGCAAAGAAACATGGAGTAAGAATGGCAGCCATTAAAAGCAAAAGAAACTAGGCCCTAAAAAGACCCATGCATTATTGTGAATACCAGCCTACGCCTAGCACACGTACACCACACACGTGCACCAAAACCGAACTGTTTGTGACCAAGCCAACAGCTCTCTGTCTCTTTAATTCAAAACACCCAGCTCAGAATAGGTATGGGAAATACCAACGGCTCTCTGTCTCCTAAATGAACAGCTAGATCACTCTCACCTTTCTGAATGCTTTGTAAACCCCAGGTCGCTCTATCAAGAAAATCAGAAGCCTCTCTCTTTAATTCTACAATAGAAAACAAAGACCACAAAGCTGCATCTCCTCTGATACTAAAATGGAGAACGAGGCAGAACCACCCTCAAACTTGTTTACTGTTGCAAATACAGGGCCACTTTCCCTAAGTAAAATGCAACCACATCTTATTCCTTTCGATTTCATGACCGAAGGCAAATGAAAACAAAATTCGTACACATGCATGTATTTTTCTGCGGGGGTACGCGAATTGACAACGAGAGAGACGCACCACTACCCTAAAATTTGTAGATCCATGGCTAATCGTCCCAAACTCCTCCATTCTACAGGTAAAACACATCCATCCCCAAACTTCGGTTTTGATGTTAGTTCCTAAGTCCCATTTCTGTCATTTTTGTTTGGGACCAAAAGGCGAAGGAATCTAACATCCATTCATTTTCTGAGTTAAAATGTGTGTAGACTGCTCGCGGATATATCGCCTGAAAAGTAGAAACGGAAGCAAATCGTCTCAGACCCACAAATCCCAACATAAGACAGGTAAAAACTCATGTCGTGAAATGTTGAGCTCCGTATGGCAAAGAATGGTTCAATATCACTGCATAGCTTAAATGTTCGTCTCTCTGTGCATGTATATGGCTCAGATCGAGTGGAAATTCGAGAAAAAGAATGCTCAAGCTGCAAATGTAGTCGACAAAATGGCAAAGCAAATCTCGAAGTCGCCCCGACCTTGGATCTGAAAGGTATAAACACCCATCTATGCTATGTGAATCACATATGTGGTTGATGTTGATGTAATTCTACAACTGGATGCATGATTCAATCTAAAATAATCTCTCTTTGCACAAAGTCCTGTTTGTCTTGTTTGCTGTCTGCAAAAACCCAAGTTGGAAAAATTAGAGAAAATATAGAAAATACTAACTATAAACTAAAAATTAAACAAGTAATTTTTTTTTTTTTTTTTTTTTGGTTTTTTGTTTTTGTATTTGTGTTTCTGTTTTTTTTTCTTCCTTTGTTGACACGAAATGATAGCCTGGGAATTTAAATGCATCTAGATTGAAAATAATGAAATAAAAGAGAAAGAAGGTAAAGAGAAAGGTAGAAAATTGGGTTACCTCCCAATAAGCGCTTTATTTAACGTCTGTAGCTAGACAGAATAGAAGACCAGTGATTAAGTTGCTGGATCCTTCAGAGTCATTGACTCGCTTGCACTGAACTTTCTTAAAAATGGCTTTAGTAGATACTTCTCAAAATTTGGGCTGCCTTGCAACATTTTACATTTTACCTCGTGGCTTTAGTAGATACTTCTCAAAACTCCCTGGATCCTTCTTCTTTGAGGCAATTTGTGTAGTAAAACTGCGCTGCTCTGTTTTGTTAGCACAATTTTTTATGACTCAACAAGCTTTCTTTTCTTATTGCAAACATCTTTCAAAATTTTGGCATAGGAAGGGATCTTTCGAATGGCTTCTAATAATGGCAAATTAATATGAACTTTAGCCAATGTTTGCATGAAATCCCTTAATTGCTGATCTTTTGCTTTAGGACCTATCGGGATATGGCATCGGGGGGCACATAAACACGTTCCGACTTTTCTACAGTTTCTGCAGCAGGTACTGCAGTATTTTTGGATTTATTCAGTGGCTGGGCAGATTCTGTAAAAATTTCAGAACCTGTTTGTGGCTACAAAGGTGCTGCCCGTGAAGTTCCAGCACTGTTTTCTACATCACGGTTGTCATAACTTTCTAGATCTCAATGTCCTTATTGCACAACAGTATTCTGTACCTCTTGGATTTTGAACTATTTGGCTGGAAAATTTTCCTGGTTCTCTGCCTGAAAACTAGAGTGAAAGCTACCCCATTTGCTGTTGTAGATATTTCATGGTTACTTGTATGTTCTGAATGTTTTGGTTGATTTTCTGAATTTCTTGTTTTGTTACATCAAAACTTGCCTTAATGTGATATGCCAATTTTTCAATTGTGACTTCCCAAGAAGGTTTAGCTTGAGCAGCAGGTTGTATTTGTTGTTGAAACTGTGATTTAACCTGTTGATCTGTATTCCACTTGAAATTTGGGTGATCTTTCCACCCGGGTTATAAAAATTTGAATAGGGATCATTCTTAGGCATTTGATAATTATTGAATACATTAATATGTTCTTTAGCATGCTTCAGATATGCATCCCTATGTGGGCAGCCCATAAATCATGTGTTGTGATGCCATAAATGGTATGTGGCTGCAGTAGCCTGCTAGATAGCAACCTGCTACACAAGTGCTGCCATTCTTTGTAAAAGAATGCCAAATTTTGCATCAAAATTTTCTAACTTTTTCTCCATCTTTTCTATTTGTGCAGGTACATGAGGTACGCCACTGGACATCTCAAAAACACCCTTGGTCTGAGGTATATCAACTGCCCATTGTTGAGATTTTGTCGCCATGCTCTCAAACAATTGATACACTTGCAGTGCATTTTTTTCTGAATATGTTCCTCCACAAGAAGCATTAACAACAGTCTTAGTAGTCAAATTCAGCCCTCTGTAAAATAAATTCATTTGAGTGTCACCATTAATGCCTGAATGTGGACATTTCCTGAGCAGATCCTTGTAACGTTCCCATGCTTCATGAATTGCTTCATTCGGTTTCTGAGCAAATGTTAAAATTTGAGTGCTCATATCAAGTGTTTTTTAAGCTAGGTAGTATTTGCTTAAAAACGCAAGACTGAGTTGGTTCCACGAAGTAATGCTTCCAGATGGAAGTGTGACCATCTCCTTGCGCCATCCTTCAAGGTGTAAGGAAAAAGTCTAAGTTTGATACATTCTGCTGAAAATCCTTTCACCAAAATATTTTTGCATCCAATTAGAAATTCGGTTAGATGCATGTTAGGATCATCTGTTGATAAACTGTGAAAGGAAGGTAGAATCTCTAACATATGATGTCGTATCTCAAACGTGGACCCATCTTCAACTTCAGGATAGGTAATGTAGCTTGGCACTTCTGTGGCATGAGCTGCCAGGGATTCCTTCAGTGGTTGTCCCGCTATTGGTAGAACAAAGGCCATAACTTCTTTGCTATCCAAAAACCCAGTAACGGCGCCAATTTCTTGAAAGGATTTTTACCACCTGCAAGAGTAGAGATAACAACACCTAAATACTTGCAAGCGAAACAACGTTGTCGTAGTATAGTTGGCTCAAGTAAGATCATTCTCCAAAGGGATTAATTTAAATAAATTAACGCAATATCAAATCTCAACAATTATTTAGAATAAAGTTTTGGAAAATGATGATTTAATAACCTAAATTAAGAAAAACGAATTTAATTAAAAAGGTTAACTAACATCTGCAATTTTTAAAGAATGAAAAAGGAAACAATTTTAGAATTCAAAGTAAGAAGGTACTAGGTTCCGCCATCCTCTTAACAATCCTATGTATATTTACTAATTAATTATGGATTATCCATGAAATTTTGAAGGTTAGGTTTTCCTAATGCATATTCTACTTGTGGTATTCAAGTTAGAACGTATATCAAACATGCAATCTGTCCATGGTATTCAGATCAAATATGCATGACTCATTATACTTTGTGAAAACCCTTTGAAAAACCATGCAACTCCTAAGCCGTGGTATTCATCCTAGGTGAAATTACAACTATTAATCACAAGAAGCAATACTCAATTCCCCCGTGGTATTCCGACCAAATTGCATCCAATTACTTATCTAAACATCCTAATGGTCGCGAATCCTTAAGACACAAAGACAGTTTATGCACAGTGATTAATAATTCAAAGTATGCATGCATAATATCATAAGCAATTAAATAAAAACTACATATTCATGCTAAGGCTCAAGGCATCACCCTAGCAAAAGAAAACTAGTTACGCATATTCATAATTAAAATCAAAAGAATTATATTAAACTAGAAAAAGAATGAAAACACCTTGTAGAATAAAGTTTGAAAATCTCTAAACTTTGTCCCAAATCTTCTCTCCAAAAAATTGCATGCGTTCTCTTTCCAAAAAAAACCCTAGGTTTGCCAAAAGGCTTATTTATACTACTTTCCTTAAAATCCTCGTAGTAAAAGGTCTTAGAAATAGACTAGGAAACTAAATAAATTAAAATAAAATAGGAAACATAATCCTAAATTGACTTGGTAAATTCGCCCAAAATCTTGCACAGCCACGTTTTGGACCCATATCAACTTCAAAACTGGCCCAAAATAGTTGGAGTTAAAGCTTGAACAATTCTAAACGCTTGTCCAAAAGGCCACGAACCCATTTGAAATCATCTTGGGCTCCGAAAACGCAATTTAAGCTCATAAACGTCACTTTCCAGCAACGCGCACGGCTCATTCATTTAATCTCTTGAAAATAACCACTTGGTAGAAATTGCTGAGATTTTGACACGAACAAGCTAAGGAACACACGAATGTCCTTCAATTTGAATCACTCCAAAATTCGTCTGTTTGATCATGTTTTGCTTCAGAGGAAGTCGTGTTGAAAAACCCGCACACTAGACCTTGTTCTTTAATGTAACTAACGACAATAGACTAAACTAGCAAATATTAGAAAACTTAGAAACACACAAGTATTATACTGATTCGGCAGAACTTTTACCTACGTCCAATTGTGATTTCTCTAGGTAGAGAAATCATCGCTCCTTTGATTAATAATAGAGATTACAGAACTTTTGCAAACCCTAGAACTAATCTCAAAACTCTTGGCTGTCTGGCTGTTTTCTTTCTCTCTGTAAAAATCAGCGTTGCCGCACCCTATTTATAGACACAGGGTTGGCTTACATGTCCCAAGGCTGATTGAATTCCTATTTCTAAGTGGACTAGGAAATTACACTATCCAAATCCAAATAGACTTCTAGAAATCCAAACCTAAATTGAATAAGGAAACTGAAATTCTTTCCTAATCCCTCTAAGACAAGAATCTGTATACCTATAGGTATCCTAAAACAATCCTAAACCAACTAGGACATATTTGACGAGCCAAAATCCTAACAATCTCCACCTTGGTGAGTCAAACCAAGTCTTGATCGTTGCACCCCAGAGTATCTTTGAACCTTCTTGAAGCAGCTTTGGAAATCTTTAAGAGTCTTCACCTTGGCAATCTTCTTCCTGCCTCATTGCACCTCAAGTGAAGAGGTGCTCCACTTTAATCAATCCACGAGATTGATCAAGTTCAAGCAATGCTTGAACTTCTTGGCCGACACTATCTCTGTAAGGAAATATGTGGCATTGTCATCTGTATGAACCTTTTCAATCCAAATTTCCTTAGACTCCACCCAATCTCTGATTCTATGATACCTTGCTTTAATGTGCTTTGATCTTCTAGAAAAAAACCTGATTCTTTGCCAAGTGAATGGCACTTTGACTATCACACTTCAGCTTCACACAATCTTAAGTGATTCCCATTTGACTTACCAAGCCACTAAGCCAAAATACTTCCTTTTCAACTTCGGCCAATGCAATATACTCTGCCTTTGTGGTCGACAAAGCTGTAATTGGTTGCAGTAGTGCCCTCCAATTAATTGGTCCTTTTGCGCATGTAAACACATAACCAGAAGTTGACATTCTCTTGTCCAAGTCCCCTGCATAATCAGCATCCACATATCCTAACACCCATGCACTTTCCTTTTGCCTCTCAAACATAATCCTTTGTCGCCAATAACCCTTCAAATAACGCAAAATCCACTTTACTGCATCCCAATGTTGCTTTCTTGGATTTGCCATGTATTTGGCAACGACACTGATTGCTTGAGCTATGTCGAGACGTGTACATACCATTGCATACATGAGGTAGCCCACTACATTAGCATAAGGCACATTCTTCATTACTTGTTACTCTTCCTCGGACGTAGGACACTATTGCCCACTTAACCTAAAGTGAACCGCCAAAGGAGTCGAAACTACCTTTGCTTCTTGCATGTTGAACTTCTTAAGAACCTTCTGAATATACTTGGCTTGTGAAATCCAAATCCTTCCAACAGTCCTATCTCTCTGAATTTCCATGCCAAGAATCTTCTGTGCAGCACCTAGATCCTTCATATCAAACTCCTCGTTAACATCTTTTTCAAGTCTTGAATTCTAGACTTATCTTGATAAGCAATTAGCATGTTATCCATATATAGCAATAGCAATATGATCATCCCATCTTGGAACACATGATAGTACACGCAATAGTCATATAAACATCTTCTAAAATTGATTTTCAGCATGAATGAATCAAACATCTTGTACCACTGTCTTGGAGATTGTTTCAAGCTATACAGGGACTTCCTTAGCTGACATACTAGGTTCTCTTTCCCATATTCAACAAACCCTTCTGGTTGAACCATGAAAATTGTCTCCTCTAGATCTCCATGAAGAAACGATGTCTTCACATCCATCTGCTCAATCTCTATGCCATGTTGAGTTGCCATAGCTAAGAGTAATCAGATAGAAGTATGCTTGACTACAAGTGAAAAGACCTCATCATAATCCACCCCTTCCTTTTGTGAGTACCCCTTAGCCACGAGCCTTGCTTTGAATCTCACGACATCTTGTTCATGTAGTCCTTCCTTTTTCCTAAATACCCACTTGCATCCAACTAGCTTTCTATCTTTAGGCTTAAGAACCAACTCCCAAACAGAGTTCTTGTAAAGAGACTCCATTTCTTCTGTCATAGCACTTATCCAACTATCTCGCTCATCACTAGCTATAGCTTCTCGATAAGTAGTCGGATCTCTTTGACTAATGTTAAGAGCATAATTAACTTCGTCTTGGTCAAACCCAAATCTGTCAGGTTTCTTCTTGTTCCCCTTAGGTTTGTCTAGTGCTATGCATCTCTGGAATGCAGGTGGATTGTTGGTTGGAGTTTGAACCCTTTGGATGTCTAGTGGATTTGAGTGCCTTCAATTTGCCCTGTTTCTTACTCCACCTGATTCCTAACTGGTGAACGAAGCTGATGCTCTTCTTCCTCCTCAAAACCATCAGATTCGGCCTCTTGCTCGATTTGCTCCACCTGAGCTTCTTTTTCATCTGAACTGATCAATGGAATCCTTGTTGCTTCAATTTCAGCATCGTCCGTCTTTTCCCTACTACTCTTGACTTTATTAAGAGGCATGGTTGTCTCATCAAAGATAACATCTCGACTAACAACCTTTTTCCTGTTGTTGAAATCCCAAAGCTTGAAACACTTAACTCATTTCTCAAAACCTAAGAATATGCAATGTGTAGACTTCAGTTTGAGCTTGGACCTTTCATCACTTGGAATATGTGCATAAGCATTACAGCCGAACACCCTAAGCTTGGAATAGTCCACCGGCTTCTCAGACCATACATCTTTTACATCCCTAAAACCGAGAACTATAGATGGTGACCTATTAATCAAATAACCTGCATGATTAACAACCTCTGCCAAAAAACTATCAGGCAATCCTACATGAAATCGCATGCTTCTCTCTATTTCCATGAGAGTTCGGTTCATCATCTCAGCAAGCTCCATTTTGTTGGGGATTCTTCTTTACTATGAAGTGCCTTATGATGCCTTCCTGCTTGCAATAATCGGTAAACCCATTACTTGTATATTCACCTCCATTATCACTTCTTAGGTACTTGATCTTTCTTCCAGTTTGATTCTCGGCTTCTGTTTTCCATTCCTTGAACTTTGCAAAAACCTCGGATTTCTGCAACATGAAATAAACCCAAACCTTCCTAGAAAAATCATCCATGAAAGTAACAAAATACCTGGCTCCACCATTTGATTTAGTTAGTGTAGGGCCCCAAACATCTAAGCGAATATAGCTGAGTTGCTCATTGCTTCGGTTATCTACACTGCTACTTGCGAATGATACCTTTCTTTGCTTTCCGAGAACACAGCATTCACAAAAGTCCAGTTTACAAGATGACACGCCTTCTAACACACCTTGCTTGTGTAATTCCTGCAACCCTTTCTGGCTTATGTACCGAAGCCTATGATGCTAGAGTTTAGTATTGTCTTCTACACTCTGATTTACATAAACAACTGCTCCTCCGACTACAGTGGTCCCAATTAACTCATACAACTTATTGGGTTGTAGGTCACCCCGCATTACCACTAGCAATCCTTTGGTTACCCTAAGTCTTCATTTTTTAGACTTGTACTCATAATCGGCCTCATTTAAAGTACCTAAGGAAATCAAATTCTTTCTTAGTCTATGGACATACCTGACGTTCCCCAAAGCTCGTATCATCCCATCGAACATTCTAATTCAAACAGTGCCGATTCCTCTTACAGGACATGAAGAATCGTCCCCCATTAAGACTTCCCCGCTGCTGACTTCTTTGTAAGTATCGAACCATTCCCTTACAGCAGACATATGAAAAGTGCATCCAATATCCAAAATCCAATTGGTGAAAGCCTTGGAGCCTAATGTTACTAAAATGAGCTCCCCGTTACTCTCATGCTCGGTGACTGCACTAGATGAACCTGAGCTTCCTTCCATCTTGGCTTTCTTCTCTTTCCAAATGTTGCAGTTCCTCTTCCAATGATCGGTTAAACCACATTCAAAGCAACCTTCCTTCTTTTCCTTTTTCTTCTTAGATTTTGACCTACCTTTATTGCCGATTTTCTCTTCCTTTGTCTTTTCCCGCCCCTTCTCCTTGCCTTTTGCATAAAGGCCTTGAGAGCTTTCAGTTATATCATCCAGTTTAGCATATGACTGAATAGCTTGAATTACATCTTCAAGCTTAAGGACTCTTTTCCAAACATTAGAGTTGTTCGAAAGTGCCTGAAAGACAAAGGTAGAGACCTCAGCAAGATGATAGCCATATCATCATCTTTGTAAGTTTCTTCGACCTTCTGAAGATTAGCTATGCAATTTTGGAACATGCATACATGATCTTCAATATCACCTCATTCTTCTAGTCGAAGCCCGAATAGTTCATCCTTTAGAAAAAGTTTAATGGACACGGTTTTGCCCATATAAACATTCTTCAACTTTTCCCATACTTCCTAAGCAGTCATCTTTTCGGTGATGTGTGACCGAACTGATCTTGTGAGATGGATCTCGATGGAACTCTTAGCCTTCTGGAGAACCTTAGTCCATGCTGCCTTTGTCATGTTTTTCGGCTTCTCACCATCGAGTGCATCATCCAAATCCTGTTGTATCAGTACATTCTTCATCATCCTTTGCCATTCCGTGAAGTCATCCTTGTCGTCAAAGGGCTTTAACGTAGGTCCTTGATCCGCATTGATCTTCCCTTTTGACATCGTAGAACACCTTGATCCTAGCTCTTGATACCAATTGTTGAAAAACCCGCACATTAAACCTTGTTCTTTAATGTAACCAACGACAATAGACTAAACTAGCAATTATTAAAAAACTTAGAAACACACATGTATTATACTGGTTTGGCAGAACTTTCGCCTACGTCCAAGAGAAATCACCACTCCTTTGATTAATAATAAAGATTACAGAACTTTTACAAACCCTAGAACTAATCTCAAAACTCTTGGCTGTTTGACTGTTTTCTTTCTCTCTGTAAAAATCAGCCTTGTCGCACCCTATTTATAGACATAGGGTTGGCTTACATGTCCCAAGGCTGATTGAATTCCTATTTCTAAGTGGACTAGGAAATTACACTATCCAAATCCAAATAGACTTCTAGAAATCCAAACCTAAATTGAATAAGGAAACTAAAATTCTTTCCTAATCCCTTTAGGACAAGAATCGGTATACCTATAGGTTTCCTAAAACAATCCTAAACCAACTAGGACACATTTGATGAGCCAAAATCCTAATAAGTCGAATGTCCTATATTGAAAATATAAAGCAAAGTATCAAAATTCTACTAAAATAATTATCAAATTATACTAAGAATATGGTGAAATATATAATATAATTTTGACTTGGAATGACACAAAAGTTAAAAATCATTTTAGGTAGCATCCAATCAACATCAATGAAATGTGCGGTGAAAACCATGCAATTTGTTTGTTGAATAGAAGTCCATGTATCCCTTGTTAGACACACCCCTAAATGTCTTCAATTGACTTTTCAATTTGTCATTTTTGGAATAAAACAAGTCAAGTACATCCTTAACAATTGTTTTACGACTATGCACTCTCCACATAGGACATACTTGCATGCAAAAATGGCAAAAACTTTCTCCCTTAACACAAGCCTTAGTAACTCCTTCTTGGGAGAAACCTATAGCTTCCAACTTATCTTTCTTGGCGGCAAAAGTTAAGATCTTTTGCCTATTTGCGACACATATTTCCTTATACAACTATAGCTGATACATCTTGTTAAATGATTTCTCAAACCAGTTGTACCATTCTTATGCGAGTCGGCCATAAATGGTTGCAATAGTTGCACAACCCCCTTAACTCTACCACTCTCAATTTCCTTTTAAAGTGCTCCCACATCGGATATTAGACTTGGTAATTTCTTACACGATCTGTTAAGACGACACGTAAATGACATGAAAAAAAAGGGTTTCGGATCAACGCGATAACTAATCGGGTCGTTATCGGGTCACACGATAAGAACTCGTTAATAACAAGTCCTTAACAGGTTTACATGAAGGTGACACGCGAATAACCTGTTTCGGCATGTTAAGAAAAAAGTTATTTTGATAATTTTAATTTTTTAAACTACTAAATAAACTTACTAAAAAGTACAATAGCCATAATGTATATGCATATATTGTATATTAAATATATGTTGTTGTATTATTATTCTATATAAATGTAAAAAAATTTAAGTTTTTTTTTATAGTATATTATAGGCAAAGAGTGAGATTACAAAATTATAAAACACATTAAAAGTAAAAGTATCAAGTAATTTAAAAATACCAAACACATTAAAAAATTAATAATTAAAATACAATGCAAAAAATGTGAAAAAAAAAAATATGCATGGCTCTTGATCGCATCCTCTACGCTATGAGTATGGGAACATTGTCGTTTGAATTTTTAAAACCATACAAACCCTCATGAATAGTATTTTTCTAAGGGAATTCAAAATAAATAAATTTATAATCATTTATGTACAAATCTAAAAAATGTGACCCTGCGTAAAGCGGGAGCCTTGTGCACTGGGTACGACCTTTATATATAAACATGCAAGGTTCCTCAACCTTGAAGCCCAACTCCCTTTATTTTGCATATCCTTGAACATTTGGTATTTTAAAATGATGTACTAATATCGTATTTTGAAGTATGTAATACTTGAAAGACAAATTATTATTATTTTTTTTATGTTTTGAAGTAATATTTAAGTAACAATGTGGTATGCATATACTAATTTAGTATTATGTCTTCTATTTTTTTTGGTCAAACTATATTTTTCATTTTCATTATTTATTGATTTAAAATATATTTTCTTTAACAATAATAGGTCGGGTCATATTACCTGATAATATTAACGGATCAATTTCGGGTCGGGTCATATTATCCATTTACTTTAACAAGTGTTACACGACACAGCCCGTTAAGATATTGGGTATAACACAAACACGACACGAATGCCAGGTCTACCGGATACCTTTCATGAGTTTTTAATGATTCCAAGAGAGCTTCGTCTTTTCTTCCTTTGTCGAGTCACCTTTTCGAGTTGCATCGAAGGAGGTTCCGAATCCACCATAAAGATTAGTAGGAGTTTGTTGAGATGCCACCATGGATATTGAGGCAGAGTTGATTCACCATCAACGTCCTTCAAATCAATTATAATTAATTATTAAAGAAATTGAGACATAATCCATAGAAAAGTATAGAGAAAGTATAGAGATGACGACTTACTTGTGATGGAGTAGAAGTAGATGAGTTTGGTTTTTCATGAGAGCCATTTTATCTCATTGAGTTTGAGTTTGAGCTTGAGGCATTTGACTTCAATACATTTGACTTCATCGCATTTGACTTCATCTAATTAAAATAAAAAACATATAATAAGATCAACTCAAAATAGAAGTAGAAAAGTAATCAAACTATCAAAGTAGCAGTAGACCATTTCTATATAACTAACCATTAGTCCTACCGCAGTACACGAGCTAAACCTTTCAAGAAACTATAACTAGTCTCACTCTACTGCAGTATAAATGAATCACAACGCTAAAGCAAATGCTAATATCAACTCATAATTGTATTGCCAAATACCGTATGTCTGCAGCTCCAAATATTTTGTAACAGCTATAACATTACATAAAAGATGAGGGAGAGAAAAAAGAATCAAATCCTGGAGAAAAGATGGACATGACAAGACAAAATCGAGCTTTGAAACCCTCGGCTTGAGGCTTCGATACTAGAAGCCTTTGAGATTTCACAAAAGCATACCTCCAGGATCATATTGATATACAAATATAATATGATTTTTTTTTTTTTCATGAGAATATCGCAACAACTAAATCCTGGCAGGCCATTCATGCCTTCCAAATTGTATAAATATCTACCATCCTTTTACCATATTTATACATTGATAGCTAGCAATTGGATTGCACAATGATCAATGGGAAAGGCCTATTGGTTCTGAATCTCGGATGCAACTTTTTCGTTGTAGTCCCAACAGCTAGTCATTCTATGACCTCTTGCGGGATACAGAGTATAACTTAAAAAAGTATGAGAAATTAAAGTGCACAAATAGGCATAATTTCGACCAAAACATATTATATGCAATAAAATGCCTGATTAAAGTGCACAAGAAACGGATCTTCACTCAGAATTCACAGAGAGCTAGAAATTAAAATTAAATAACTTAAAAAATTATGACAAAATTAAGGGTGGGCTCTGTGAATGTGATAAGAAATTAAGTAACTTTAAAAAACAAAAATCTTGAAATTGGGAGAAAAGGGTCGCATATTTTTACCTTTGCGATGGCTGTCAAGTGTCGAGTCCGACTGTCTAGACGGCGAGGCTGCGGGGCTGTGAGAGGGAGACGGCGGGAGAAACACAGACAGAGAAGTGAGAGTGAGGGAGAGGGAGAGGGAGGCGCGGGGAGAAACACTGGCGGAGAAGTAAAGAAACACCTAGGGTTAGTAGCACAAACCAAAATGACATAAACTCATGAGTAAAAAACGACATCACCTATCTAAGGGGTAAAACGACGTGGTTTAACACTAACTTCAGTTCGGTTCTTCTTTGTTTTTTTTTTCGGTTTTTTCTTTCGATTCAGTTTTTTCGGTTACAGTTTCAGTTTCGGTAACCTTTTTTTGGGTTTTCAGTTTTTTCAACCCATCCCTAGTTGGAATGATGACATGTATATAGTTTTGTTGAAAATATACAAATTGATTCTACGAAACTATACAAGTTGATTCTACTAAAAAGTATACAAAACTAATCATGCATGTATTTGCAATTGATTCTGCAAAAATGGTCGACGACAGGTTAGATTAATAACATATATGTAGTATTGTTGAAAATATATAAACTGATTCTACTAAAAGTATACAAACTGATTCTACGAAAAAGTATACAAAAATGACTCTTCATGTATTTGTTGATTCTACAAAAATAGTCAAGAACGGGTTGGACTGATGGCATGTATGTAGTTTTGTTAAAAATATACAAAATGACTCTAGTAAAAATTGTATAAAACTAATCCTACATGTATTTGAAATTGATTATGCGAAAATGGTCCAAGACGGGTTGTATTGATGGCATGTATGTAGTTTTGTTGAAAATGTACAACCTGATACTACTAAAATTATACAAACTGATCTAATAACATTATACAAACTGATTCTACTCAAATGTATATAAAACTGATTTTACATGTATTTGAAACTGATTCTGCGAAAATGGTAAAGGATGGGTCGAACTGATATCATGTATGTAGTTTTATTAAAAAAATATACAAGCTGATTCTACTAAAATTGTCACATCCCGAGCTCGACTCCACCATAGCACAATATTATCCGCTTTGGACCCCGACCATGCCCTCATGGTTTTGTTTTTAGGAACTCACACGATAACTTCCCAGTAGGTCACCCATCATGGGACTGCTCTCGCATGAACTCACTTAACTTCAGAGTTCTGATGGAACCCGAAGCCAGTAAGCTCCCAAAAGGCCTCATGCTAGGAAAAGATGGGAATATACATATAAGGCTTACAAGATCCTCACCCCTGGGCAATGTGGGATGTTACAATCCACTTCCCTTAGGGGCCTGACGTCCTCGTCGGCCCACTTCTGGGCAGAGATTGGTTATGATATCAAATTGTCACATCCCGGCCAAGCCCTTACCACATCCCAGGCTCAACTCCACCATAGCATGTTATTGTTAGCTTTGGGCCTCGACCACGCCCTTACGGTTTTATTTTTGGGAACTCAAACGAGAACTTCCCAGTGGGTCACCCATCATGGGATTGCTCTTGCGCGAACTCGCTTAACTTTGGAGTTCCAATAGAACCCGAAGTCAATGAGCTCTCAAAAAGCCGCGTGCTACAAAGAGATGGGAATATACATATAAGACTTACATGATCCTCACCCCTGGGCGATGTGAGATGTTACAAAAATTATACAAACTGATTATACTAAAAAAAATATACAAAACTGATTCTACATGTATTTGAAATTGATTATCCAAAAATGGTTAATGACAGGTTTGACTAATGGCATGTATTTTAGTAATGAAGGATAGAGATGATGACACATTAATTTTATTAAATTATGTGGAAAAATGTAAAGAGGATGGACTAATTCTAACAATAAAGGATATAAGTTGAGTCTCCACTACATATAGTTTTGAAAGTGATTTCGCAAAAATGCTTGGATGAAGGGTAGAGATGATGACACATTAATTTTATTAAGTTATGTGGGCTAGGCTTTGTTAATAAATAGAACCGTTAGGAGTATGGCTATTATTTTAAAAAATTGTTTCAATGTTTTTTGTTTTTTTGTTATTTTGTTTTTTTTTTTTTTTTTTTTTTTTTGAGTGAAAGTACGATATTCATTGATAGCGAAGGAATACGTACATAACAAGGGGTAAGGTTCTTACAATAGGCCTCGATAAAAACCTTGCCGGGGATTTCAACCTAGACTAAGGGAAAAAGAGCGTTCCGCACTAATTAGTTAACTAATATAGCTATCCTCAAATAATCGATCAGAAATCACATCGGGGAATCCTCAAGCCAAACGCCCGGGTTAACTAAAACTATACCCATTCTCGCCAACCGATGATCCACTTTATTGGATTCTCTTGGACCATATTCAAACTTCCAATAGGGAAATGGCTACAACATGAGATGAATATCATGCAAAAGGTGCCCAAATGGGCCATTGTTGGCAACCGTGTCCCGCTGCAAAGCCTTAATAACCAACAAAGCATCACCTTCAAAAATCAAACATGTTGCCTCCAATTGTCTGCCTACTTCCATAGCTGCACAAATTGCAAGAATCTCTACCAACATAGGTGAGCAAACCCTAGAAAACTGCACTGATTTGACCACTACAAACTTCCCATTCTTGTCACGAACCACCACCCTACTTCTTCTGAGAGCTCTATTTTCATCCCAAGCACCATCAAAGTTACATTTAATCCAACCATGGACAGGTTTTTGCCATTTATGCATGGTGGGAACCTCGCTGGACTTTTTAACTTCGTGCCACCCTTTATATTCATTCAACCAAGTTTGCGTTTTGGTATGAACATCCACTAGATCCATGGTTGCACCCCTCCACAAAAAAGGAGTTCCTTTCTTTCCAGATACTTCATATGATAGCTAATACCATATCGAAGCTCTTCCTTGACATCAAAGAAGTTAGCTCCGCCAGCTATTCCCTCATCCCCTTATGTCTCTCCCTTCTTATACGTAGACCCAAAAAACTTGAAACCATATAGATGCATACCTTGGACAGTCCAGTAATGCATGTTCTACAGTTTCGGGGTCCCTGCCACAGAATATGCATATTTCTTCCCTTATAACATTCCGTTTTTGCAAGTTTACCTTAGTTGGTATCACATTCCAGCAACATTGCCAAACACAAATTTTTATTTTCCCCAGAACAAAGGCTCTCCAAGGTGCCTGTCATAAATATTTGATATCCACATTCATAGTAGACCCACTAGGTTCATCCTTAGAAATAACTCCGCAAGACCGAGCCACATGATAAGCACTCATTGTTGTGAAAATACCATTTTTCTCCCTATCCAAATCAAGGTACCAGGTTGTTTGAACAAACTTAAAGGGATGCATATGATCAGAGCAGCCTCTTTCTCATACAAAATACTATGAATTAACTCTGAATTCCAACCGGTGTTCTCATCCTCATTGAAGAGACAATTCACAGTTGTATCACACTCCACACCTATAGCACTTTATAAAAATGGTCTCTAGGCAACCAACTGTCAACCCAGATTTTGATTGAAGTCCTATCACCTACCTACCCTCCATCTTGCTCCCTTCCAAATAATAATCCGAGCTTCCATAATACTTCTCCAGCAATAAGAGGACTTAGCTTTCACAAAGGCTAAAAGAAAATCATGCTTGGGAAAATACCTTGCTTTAAATAATTGGGCAACAAGGGACTTAGGCTGAAAGAGCATTCTCCAAACTTGTTTTTCCAGTTAAGCGAGATTAAAGGCATATAAGTCTTTGAAACCGAGACCTCATTCGCTTTTGGGTTTGCATAATTCGCACCACTTCAACCAATGAATCTTCTGTTTGCCTTGTTCCCGTCCCCACCAAAATTGAGCAACCATTTGATTTAATTCATTGCAAAACATTTTGGGCAATAAAAATGTCTGCATTGTGTATAATGGTATGGCTTGGGCCAAAGTCTTGATTAGGATCTCTTTCCCCGCACTGCTAAGCAAACTACATTTCCACCCATTAAGCTTCTTCCACAATCAATCCTTAATATATACAAAAATGGCTTTCTTAGCTTTACCAACAAAGACAGGAATCCCAAGATATCGATCATGATAGTTCACCCGTGGCATACCCAAACAAGCTGTTAGAAGTTGTCCATCGTACTCAGTTAGATTTCCACTAAAGGCCACACAACTTTTTTGGAAATTAATTGCTTGACCAGAGGCCAATTCATAGGTTTTCAGCAAGTTTTTCACTTGTACGCACACATGAAGTTTGCTTCTAGGGAAAATAAAACTATCATATGCGAATAACAAATGGTGCACACTTGGTGCCTCTTTGCGCACCTTTACTCCTTCAATTCGTCCCTATCTTTCCCATGCCTCAAACATGACTGATAATCCCTCGGCACAAATGACAAAAAGGAATGGTGAAAGGGAATCCCTCTGCCTTATACCACGCTTTGGATGAATGTAGCCTACCGGATCACCATTTAGTTTGAACGAATAAGTAACTGTGGTAGCACATATCACCAGTTGAATCCATGCCTCCGCAAAACCCAACTTCCTCATCATTTGCTCAAGAAAATTCCATTCAATATGGTCATAGGCTTTGCTAATATCCAATTTCAAGGCCATCGCCCCGTTCCACCTATTTTTTTTCTTATGCATATAATGTGCAATCTCCAAAGCAACTAAGCTATTATCGGAAATTAATCTTTTTGGGACAAAAGCACTTTGTTCCAGAGAAATAATATCTGGAAGAATTCTCTTTAACCTGTTGGTAAGAACCTTTGAGCAAATCTTGTAAATGACGTTACATAAGCTAATCGCCCTGAGTTGTGTCATTAACGTTGGATCTTTGTTCTTCGGGATGATGGTAACATGAGTGAAGTTAATTTTTCGCAACATACAACCTGAAGACAACAGTGATCGAACCACAACGCAAACATCTTGTCCCACAATCTCCCACTGTTTCTAATAAAAGTCAGGGGACATACCGTCAGGACCCAGAGCCCTAGTCGAATGCATATGAAACAAGGCATGTTTGATTTCCTTATTCGAAAAAGGTAGGAGCAGTTTGGCATTCATCTCAACCGACACCTTTGGTTCAACATAGCTTAAGATTTCCGAAGCATTGGTAGGTTCCGGAGAATAAAAAATATTCATAAAGTAATCCACAATCACTCTTTCCATACCATTTTTATCTTCATGCCAGACACCATGTTCATCAAACAACCCAACTAAACCATTTATCTGTTGTCTTCTATTTGCACGTTCGTGGAAGTACTTCGTGTTTTTGTCCCCAAGCTGAATCCAATTTTCTCATGATCTTTGCCTCCAAAATGCTTCTTCCTGAGCTAGTAAGGAATGGAGTTTAGAATATAATTCATGGCGTTGAGCAATGGTTGTTTCAATGAACGGTTGACCGAATAAGCAATTTAATTTGTCCTTTGTTGCCGCTATCTCACTCGGAATAGACCTTTCACTATTTTCACCCACTTTAACAACTGGATTCTTGTAGCCTTGATCTTTTCAGTTACTAGTATTTTTCAATGTTTTTGCTAGGCTTTAGTTGTTTTTGGATTTTGTCTCTCCATAAATGTTTAAAAACTAGTAGAGTTCCTTGAAATATACTGTATGTTTTTGTCTAATGGTAAATATTTGATATTAATTTGTGGGATGATCATAATAGTAACAAATAACTATGGTAAGTTTTTTTTTTATAATTAAAATAGCATTATTTAAGTGTGAAACCCAAACCAACAAAAATTGACCGGTTCGGTTTACTTTAGTCCAAAGTTATTCAATATATAGTAAAAATTTAACTATCCAAGTTGATATAAACGTGGCATGTTTCAATGGTTCATACAATTGACTTTTATCTACCACTAAATACAAGGGACAAGTTCAAAACATGGAGACTTTCATAAAACTTATGAACCTCCACAATAGTCATTCATTACTACGTTCTAGTGATATTTTTCTTTACTTAGAAGTGAGTGGTTTTAGGTTTGAATCTCGTGCATGACAAATTTAATACCAAGTTAGGTTGTCCATTGTGTTGTTCAATCGAACTCCCCTCCCCTTAGTGTAAAAATATCGATGTACTAAAAAAAAACCCACAATAATAGTGAATTAATTAATGCAAAATAAAATTTTAAAATTAGTTAGGCTTTTTTTTTTTTTTGAATCTCGGACTGGACTAACTTCATGGACTAAGCTGGACTGACTTAGACTAGACTAAGCTGGATTAACTTAGTGAAGCGTTTGGTGCAGTGTCGGATTAAGAAGCTAGACTAACTTCTAGTTCTAGTTCAATTCCTAGCCTTCCAAATTAATTCCAATTACCCCCAATGATTCAAAACTACAAATAAACAACAAATTTCTAGAGGATCTGCATAATGAACAGCCAACCATTTGAAGAATATAATCAAATTTTAAAGGGCTAATATTTTTCACACAACTCCATCAATCATAATCAAAATTCTAAACTTGTTCGAATTCTAAGTAGCAAGATAATTGCAAGATTCATATACATACTGTAAGTATGTAACCACAAAAAGCAAAACTTGAATTTGGCTTGCTAGAGTACAAGAGCATCACCAGTAGCTCTTGAATAGCCACTGCACAAAATTGAAAACCCAGAAAAATAAAAACACCATCGATCAAAGAACAGGAAACCCACAAACTAAAACTAATCAAAACAATTTAAAAGGATTTAAAACCCCAATTAATTATTAAGTAAAAATAAAGTCGCACCCGAAGGCCATGCCATCTGGATCGAGGTCGATGATGTCACAGCCCGTCCCGAAATTTCATTTATCGTGGATGTGAAATGACGGAATTGCCCTTAAAGGTTGTTATGGTATGTGTGACATGTTTATTTGAATATTGCATACTCTCCTAAGTTTTTGGAAAATAAAGTAAGTAGATTAAAATTGTATACATTTTTGTGTGGTTAGGGACTTAAAGAAAATTGGATTGTGGTTTGTTTTGGGTGGACCACACACACATGGAACACATACCCTCACCCTAGGGCTGGGCACAGGCCAGGCCGGGCCCAAATTTGGAGGGACCGGACCAGACCCATATGAAAATGCAATAGGCCGGGTCGGGGCGAGTAATGGAATTTCAAATTTTGGAACCGAACCTAACCCGGCCCGTTTGAAACGGGCCGATTCGAGCCAGGTTCATGGGTCCAATCTTCTTCTTCTCCGATCTGGAGCCTCGCAGTCTTCGTCTTCTTCGATCTGTAGCAATCGAGTTGAGCCCATTGTCTTTTCTGATCTGGAGCTTCGTAATCTTCGTCTTCTCTGATGGTGAGTTAATTTCGCAAGTCGTGACTCATTTGGTGAGCCTGGTCGCTGCTGTGATTTCGACGCAGTAGAGGGTGGAAGGAAGACCAGAATGAGAACAGAGAAAGAAAGTGGGGGATCTGTACAATTACATAAATCCTATCAGAAAATCAAGCAAATCCCACATCAAGTCAAAATCAAACAAATCCCATATCACAAATACCCCCAAACCAAAACCCATATCTTACTGATTGATCTTAAAAAACAAAAACAAAAACAAAAAACAAAAAAAAAAAAAAAAAAAACCAAAACCCATATAAAAAAATTCCCCCAAAAAACCAAACAACCCCAAAGGGTTTCTCATCTCACGTGCCTCATCGTTTTCCTTTGTAAATGCCTTCAGACCAATAACACCCACAGTCTTTCTTCTTCCTCTTTGACCCACCCAACACAGGACAAGAGAAAAGAAGCAAGAGGAATCCTATCAATCATTACAACCTTATTTTCTATTATATTCTATTATATTCTCTTCCATTCCAGAGAGATGAGAGAGATG